TTCCACACTTCACATTAAATCTGCTTCAGGCAGTTAACACTCTCTCTCTCCTCTTTTTTTATGGGATTCCAGCTTTTCTGCCTACCCTCTCTCTCTCCCTCCTAGATATGGGAGCTACCAATACTGTCTCTAAGTCACAACAGATCACTTTTCCTGGTTAATCTCATTTTCCAAAATTGAAACAGCTTCTGAGCAGTCCATTGTACGAACATGCCAGATCCCATGATCCCAGAAGACAGCAGGACTCCAACCAGAAACAGTATTTATGGAGCCTGCCCTGCTCTGCCCTATCTGTCTGGAACTGCTCCAGAACCCTCCTAAACATCAGTGCATGCAGCTATTAACTTATGTGCGGCTCACATCAGGATATAAATCACTGTGCGTCACAGCTGGCTCCGGCTCCTTTAACAGCCAGCCTCAGGGTCAATTTAGACTCCAGTTAAATTGCCACCACTGCAAGCACCACTACAAAATTAACTCTAAAGTAGCACATGTTCTCACCCTCAAAATCACTGTAATTCTGCCCTATGAGAAACTTCACATAAAACCCAGAAAGATATTGTGCAGGAAGGATACAGAGCTATTTCAGGAGAGTGGCCACCTCTGTCCAGGGAAGAGGATGCAGGGATGGCATGCATGGGAAGTGAGCTGTTACCTATCCCACTCTACTTCTCTTCTAACAAAATCTTTGGCTGGGTGTGATGGCTCACACCTATAATCCCAACACTTTGGGAGGACAAGGCAGGTGGTTCATGAGGTCAGGAGGTCAAGACCAGCCTGGCCAAGATGGTGAAACCCTATGTCTACTAAAAATACAAAAATTAGTTCAGGCACAGTGGCTCACTCTTGTAATCCCAGCACTTTGGGAGGCCGAGGCAAGCAGATCACAAGGTCAGGAGTTCAAGAAGAGCTTGACCAACACAGTGAAACCCCGTCTGTACTAAAAATACAAAAATTAGCTAGGTGTGGTGGCAGGTGCCTGTAATCCCAGCTACTCAGGAGGCTGAGGCAGGAGAATCACTTGAACCTGGGAGGCGGAGGTAGCAGGGAGCTGAGATCATGCCACTGCACTCCAGCCTGGGAGACAGAGCAAGACTCCGTCTCAAAATAAATAAATAAATAAATAAAACAAAACAACAAAAAAAATCTTCCACAACAGTGGCAAAAAGTGAACATGTGTTAAAAAATGTAGGGAGTAGAGAGTATGTGCTCTACTATCTTCTGTTCTTTGAATGTTTGAAATATGCCATAATCACCATTTTTTTAATTTAACAGGGGGAATTTCTGTGAACTGTGGCTTAAGATCACTTCTAATTATTCATCAGAGAAGCTTTAGGACACCCTTTGACAAACGCAAAGTCATCAAGTTCCTACCCTGCCATACCTTTTCTCCAAAGTAAGGTAATCGTGAACGTAGCATCTGGTGGGACACAGGATTTTGCACCTCAGGCTGGCCTGGTGCCATTGGGGGCAACAGTGGCAGTGCCGATGCTGGCGTGGCACATAAGTGGACCCACATGGTGGCCATACATATCCCTCCATCCATGCTTTTGCTTCCCCCATTCCCCTATCCCCATTGTTAAACACTTCTACCAGTATCTGCTGCTTTCCCTTCATGGAAGGAGGGGTGTTTCTAATGATGTATCTATCCTGCCACCTAGCCTTCAGCAGCATCACTACAACAAAGCTGCCTCGTGCTGCTCTTTTACACAGACCCCAGTCTTGCTGAACCTCCAAGATCTAGGGAAGGACCTGAACAACTGAATACTTTCTACATTGAACATCGCTGTACCTTGGCTTAGAACCAGGACAACATGGCCGCAGCATTAGTATTCTTGATGTGTGTTGGCCTCTGGGAGAGACTGAAGTTAATGTCATGAGGTCTTTCAAAATTGAGGAAATTACATAAATAAGCCTGTCAGAGAGTGGTGAGAGCAACGCAGAAAAAAGAATGAAGACGAGACAAGACCCTTAGCTAATGTTTTTCCATCTGACCAGTAGAATCCATAATACTTTGTGTCCTACTAAAAAGTCTAGCTTTCCCAAACTGGTTATCAGGCATCATCCTTGAAAATCACGTAGAAACTCACAGAAAATGATCACAGGTAAGGACTCTGAAGCTTTATAAAATAAAAACACTATCCATCATTTGAAAAGTTATCCTGATAAAAGAACATAAATCTTTCTCTCAGATGCACTTCTTGAAAGTTGGTTTTGATAAGCAGTTAATCTTTTCAAGGAAAGAGGAGGGGTGATCTCCGGGGAAACGGGACACAAGTGGTTGATATTTAACATACTACTTTCCCAGAAAAGATGCAGCTGACAGGTATAGAAGCCAGTCTATGCCAGAGTTGGGAAGCTCATGATCGCGAAAGCAAGCCGGCAGCAAAGAGGGTCTCTAGGCAGGGGACATCTGTATCTGGGAGGAATTAATGATCCCCTCCCAATTACCCTCGTTGATGCAAACTACTTTTTTTTCTGGAAGTGATTTTCTAAAGGTGATTGTGAACAGATCTAGACCTCTGGAATGGAGGGAGGGGAAAACAGAATCAAGTAAGGCTCGTCGGCATCCTCCATGATCCCGTATCCTGTGGTAACAACAACACTGTCCCACTCCACTGTCATATGTTAATTACGGACTCATCGGCAAAACCCATCTGGCCAGTCCTCCATCTTTGGACAAAATTACTGTAGACAATCCCAGCTACTGAGAAGTCTTCTTTCTCTGATGCCCTCTCAAGAAGCCTATCCCAGAATCTCTTGGACAATGCTCCAGTCTCTGAATCCGTCGTAACATAAGCCCATTTCTAAGTGGGATAAAGAATGGCTGCCTAACATATACAGTGTCACAGAGTAATCTCTCTCCGTGGCCCCTGTACCGCCCTGCCCCAGGATCCAACTCCACCACATTGTCCTCCTCTCTTCTCTCTACCCTTTGTATCCTTTTTGTGAATCATCCCCCCTCCTTTTACCTGTCTTCACGTATTGTATTATCCAGCCATTGGCAGTCAGCTGCACAAAACGAGGTGTCACTAAGAGGCCATCTCTCTCAGAATACAGGGTGGCTGGAACTAGGCAACTCATATTTCTTTGGAAGGGGCACCACAATGTCCCCCATTTATCTTAAAAGCTACCAGTGTGCCTGGAGCAGGCGGAGCTGCTAAGGGGGTGCTGAAAGAAATAGGCACAGAGCACAGAACACACCGCACACATCCTGCTGCCACTCTTGTACTCTGAACTTGACACAAAAGAGAAGACAACACATGATCTCCCTCACTCCTAAAATATTTCCACCAAACTTAAATATTCATTTGTTCCTACCTCACCAAACCCCCAGACAGAGAAAAGAAGAAATTGAGATGAGTCTTGTTGCTATTTTTTGTTTTAATCATTACACACAATTCTCCTCCTCTCCCAGCCGCCGCCTAAAACCCCTTTGGAAATACAGGCAAAGACATAATTTTAAACTTTAGGCCTGTTTTAAATGTGCCTTTCGGCAAACAGATAAGTGAGAAGAGAGATCCGGATCTGGGGGTGTTAACCACATAAAGTGAGACGCTCCTGAACTGAACAAGCTAGAGAAAATATTTTCTTAAACTCAGTCCTCCAGAAAGAATTCTTATCATAGATAAGGGTGCAGTCTAGTGGCAAACATCATGAAATGCAGCCCCTTCTTCAAAGGAAAGTTAAGAGTACTTCTCAAGGGAGGAAGAACAAAGTAAAAGGTATAACAGCCCACCCCAAGTCCACCCAGCAGGGGCAGTGACACTGGTCATTTCTCTTTGACCTGCCTGTGAGGTTCATGGCCCACTCATGTGAATTTCAGAAAAAGCTAAAACCACTACCTTCCTTTTCTCGAGGCCTTAGCTTTCTTTCATTTTATTAAAGAAAGAAGTTCTAGTGGCATGATCGGGTTCCTCGTCAGGACCTCTTCCGAGCAGGTCCTGTGGCCCTGTCAGCTCATCCTCCTAGGATGTGCCTGCAAGCACCAGCTAACCCATGACAAGCTCTCCTCCCGCTACTCCACCACCCACTCCCTCCAGGGATGTGGCCCTCCCCAATAGAAATACCCCTGCAAAATGACATGGGGGGAGTGTCACTCCAATCCACCTTTCTCCCCTCTAAGACCCCACACTCAAGGACACTTTAGGCCACCAGGCAAGGTTTTCAAACTTAGCATTTCCTCCTGAGGGTCCATCGCTGCAACTCACTGCTCTCAATAATGCTATTGTATGAATGTCCATTCTTTCAGGTACACAGCACACGCGCGCGCGCACACACACACACACACACACACACACACACACACACAGAGAGAGAGAGAGAGAGAGAGAGAGAGAGAGAGAGAGAACCTCCCTGGCCAACGTAGCTGAAGGAAAGGGATCACCTCTTCACCATGAGTAACAGAAACCCCCTGATTAAATCCCCTTCTCCAGACTTTTAGGAGAGAAATTCATTTTTTCTTTTTTTTTTTTTTCTTTTTTTTAAATTTAGGTCACCAGCCATCACTGGCCATTCTACACTACCTGTCCCCCAAACACACACACACACACACACACACCCCACATGGAAACAGACACCAGCATACAGTCCATTGCAGAAGCTTAGAGAGATTTCTTGGGCACGGTATACATCCAGTTGGCTAATAAGAAAATGCATCTCCCTCCAGCCTGTGCCTTGACTAGTTAAGGGATAGGAGGGAGGGGGAGAACAAGTTACTCTCCTCATTGTGTTCACCCTGCTGGGAAGAACTCCTGTCTTCCACTAGCCCCTCCACCTCCTCCCCACTCTCAGTAGCCCCAGCCCGTCCCTTTTGCCCCTTCCTTACATTCCGCGGGGAGGAGGGCGCTGCTCAGGAGCGAAGGGGAGCCCCCTTGTGTCTAGAAGGCCTCTCCCCACCCCCACCCCGTGTGAGTTTGTACTGCAAAGCTCCTTGGCATCCTTGCCTGGGTTGGGTGTTGGGTAGCTCAAATTGCATCTACAAACTGGCTGGCCGCCAGGGGCCGGCTATTTAAAAGCGCCTGCTCGCCCGGAGCCCGTAGTCTCTTTGGAAACTTCTGCAGGGGAAAAGAGCTAGGAAAGAGCTCCAAGCAGTGTGGGCTTTTTCCTTTTTTTTTTTTTTTTTTTTTTGCTCCTTTTGATTACCCCCTCTTCCGTTTTCACCTTTCTCCGGACTTCGCGGAGAACCTGCGAATTTCGAAGAGGAGGTGGCAAAGTGGGAGAAAAGAGGTGTTAGGGTTTGGGGTTTTTTGGGTTTTTTGTTTTTTTGTTTTTAATTTCTTGATTTCAACATTTTCTCCCACCCTCTCGGCTGCAGCCAACGCCTCTTACCTGTTCCGCGGCGCCGCGCACCGCTGGCCGCTGAGGGTTAGAAAGGAGCGGGGTGTATTTTAGATTTTAAGCAAAAATTTTCCAAATAAATCCACTTTTCTCCCCCACCCCCAACGCCATCCCCACTGCCTCCGAGCTCATTATTTCGGTGGTTGCTTGGGGGTGAACGATTTTGTGGCTTTTTTCCACTTATAATTCTGACCAGCTCAGGCTCGAGGGTTTCTCCGGCCTCAGCTCGCTGGGTGCACCTGGCGCTGCCCTGCTTCCCCCAACCTGTTGCAAGGCTTTATTAATTCTTGCAACCGGGACTTGATCGCCGGCACCCCAGTCCTCCATCTCTCTCTACATTTTTGCAAGTGCCTGGGGGGAGGGCACCTGCTCTACCTGCCAGAAATTTTAAAAAAACAAAAACAAAAAAATCTCCGGGCGCCTTCTTGGCCCCTTTATCCCTGCACTGTCGATCTCCTGCCCCACCCCGAGGTAAAGGGGGCGACTGAGAAGATGGTGCTGCTCACCGCGGTCCTCCTGCTGCTGGCCTCCTGTGCTGGGCCGGCCCAGAGCCTCGGCTCCTTAGTGCACTGCGAGCCCTGCGACGAGAAAGCCCTCTCCGTGTGCCCCCCCAGCCCCGTGGGCTGCGAGCTGGTCAAGGAGCCGGGCTGCGGCTGCTGCATGACCTGCGCCCTGGCCGAGGGGCAGTCGTGCGGCGTCTACACCGAGCGCTGCGCCCAGGGGCTGCGCTGCCTCCCCCGGCAGGACGAGGAGAAGCCGCTGCACGCCCTGCTGCACGGCCGCGGGCTTTGCCTCAACGAAAAGAGCTACCGCGAGCAAGTCAAGATCGGTGAGCGCGCTCCGTGTGCCAGTCAGTTACGCGGCGCACGGGTGGGGGACACGGGATCGGCGGGGCCCGCGCGCTTCGCGCAGCAAGTGGCTTCGAGCTGGGTTGCAGCTCGGGAGTAGTCGGGGGGAGGGGGGTCTCTGCACCTCGGAATTGGAGCCCTGGGGATCCTGCTACCCTGGGGGGCTGTCTCGCGGAGACTATCCCAGCTTTCGCTCTTTCTCCTTCCTCCTACCTACACCTTGCCAGCTCCCTCCTCCACCCCCAGCTCTGTCCGAATACCGACTCTGAGCTCCCATTCGGTCACAAGGTCCAAGTCCCCTGGTACGGTATTCCAGTCTGAAAGAGTGTATGTTACAATATGAACTCCCTCCTCCATCACTCCCACCCGCGCCCCGCACACGTTGTTTTCTGAACTTGGAAAAAAAAATTTCTTTTGTTAAAATATTATTTTAATTGGGGCCTGGAGAGAGAGGTGTTACCCATCTTCTGAGCTAATGCCACCTTTGTCCCTCTTGGCCCCTCCACCCCCGTGCCTCCAGACGCTTCTATCCCTCCACCCCCTACACACACACCCCATATCGTTGGTAGCTAATGCCTTTCGGGTGGGAGCCCTGAAGCCCCTCCCATGTGCACAGCCATTGCTTTTGATTGAAGATGATTGCCTGTGGTAGACGGTAAAATATATTTAACTGCAAAATGACTTATTTTATCACAGAAATGGCAAAAATACTTTAGAAGCTCGGGGGTGCGGGGTGGGGGTGGGGAAGAGTGGGAAGGAAGGGTTTGGTGTTCTGTGCCGGGTGATCGTTGCTGAATCTAATTCCTTTTTTCCCCCTCTTCAGTTCAGATTTTACCTAGGATGAAAGGTGGACATAGGGCTGGGAGGCAAAAGGGGATGTGAAATTCAGACCTTTCAACTTCGTCGCCTAGGCACACTCCCGGCACCACCCCCACCCCACCCCCACCTTCACCCCTACAATTCCTCCCACTGCAATCTCCCATCCCCCCTCCCCAATCTCTTAAACCAGATCCCAAGTGGGTGTGGAGCAAGTGCAGAGGGCCCTGGAAACGCCGAATGCAAAATTCATGGGGCGGAGACAGAAAAGCCTCGCCTCCGCTAGCCCCGCCCCCTCGTTGCCCCGCCCCAAATTCTCTACTCCGGGAGTCTAGGGTTGAGATGATTGACACAGCTACTTGTTCAGTCAGAACAGTTCTGCCCCCTTAGACTGAGTTTGTTTTTGGAAAGAGTTTCCTGATCTTTAGTTTAAAAAAAAAGAAGTTAAATAAACTACATAAAAGTCTGGATTCTAAGACGTCAAACTGGCTACTAGTTCTCTCCAAAAGGGGTTAAAACTTGGCTAAACAATGTTCATTTGGCGTAGTTTAGTTACGGGGACAATCCCCTTCTCCCTCCCTGTCCCTTTCCATGACTCACGAGCACCCCAACAAGAGCTTTCTGAAGTGCAAACTTCAGTCGCAATAGTGCAGGAGAGGAGTGCGTCCGCGCTTTCCTGGAGGCCGGAGAGCTTCCTGTGTTCAGCCTCTGACCCTGCAAACTGCAGGGTTTGAGTGACGCAGGCGCCAGCCCCTCCAGCTTTGCCAGAGATAGCCGATCTCCAGGTTGCAGCCTGCAAAAAGAGGAAAAGGGGAGGACGTGCAGGCCCCGGGAACCCCAGAGACCGGCTTGTGAAATTATTTTTATTAAAATCCACTCTTCAAATATGGTCCTGCCCGCCTTCATCTTAGGGGATATGGATTTGGAAAAGCCTAGCGGAGAGGAAAAAAATTAACTGATTTCCTGGCTTGGAAGCGACCGCCCTGGGTAACAATCCAGTCACACCGAAAGTCCGTAAGGTGTCGCTCAGCCTCATCCTGGCTCCACTTATTATTTGCCAAGCGTGTCGTTAGTGTGATGTGGCGACAGTGAAGGGTGTGCACGTAGGGCGCACGCGCGCGCAATTGCTAGGCAAGCACGAAGTGCGCATCACACACACACACACGTGCACACACACACACACACACACACACACGAGACACTTCAGTCCCAAGCAAGTTCCGGGGTAGAATTCCCTGCCGCCCGTTCCTCAACCCCCACCCTCTGAGTGCCTTTGGGCCAACCCAAAGCCGCCTCTCCTACCCGCCCCCCTCCCCAGCGCTCCTTAGGACTCCACCCAGCCGAAGGCAGGTGCCCGGCCGGTTGTATTTGCGGGTTGGCGGCGCTCCACCTCGGTTGATGCCGACGTCTTCCTCCCGGACAAATGGGATGGGGTGGGCGCTCCTGGAGAGGGCCTTTGTCGCCGGAGAACCATTGGATGGATCCCCAAAAAGTTGGAGATGGTATAGAGACCGTTCTTAAGGAGAGAGAAATGGACAGAGAGAGGAAGAGCGCCCTCTTGGTCCTTTAGCCAAAATTCCTGCTTCCCAATCCACCTCCCACCTCCCTTCTCTCCCATCCCCAAAATCTGAGCTTGCAGAAATGGATTCTCTCCCTCCCTCTCGTAGTTGCGCGCGCGCACACACACACACACACACACACACACACACACACGACATATTGTATCTAATGCGTATTATATATGGTATATACTACATTATATATATATTTATATGTAACCAAACATATATATAACACAAAAAAGGTGCATTTCTGGAATCAGAAGTGGGGAGCAGAGGAGTGAGGTGGCAGGCAGTCAAAGCCTCTGGGAGGAAGAGGGGCGGGGGGAGGAGCGGGTGTTTGGGTAGACTGTTGCTGAGCAACAGAAGAGGGAGTGGGCTCCAGGACCCAGCGCTGAGAGCGAGAATCTGGTGCTGAGAATGAGCCTGGCTCTGCATTTCATTCTGGCCATTTCAGGAGCAGAGATAGATATGGAAAAAAGAGATGTGTGTGAGGCTTGAGGGAGATGAAAGACAGGAGTGATTTGTTGGTCAAAGCTCAGTGAATAAGGGTGAGTGGAAGGCGTCAAGGAAGTAGTGGGTTTTGTTTCTGGCATTTTCGTGGGGAATGAGGCTTGATGAGCTGGTCCCTAATATAGATGCCGGTGTTGGAGAAGTCTCCTCTGTGCTGGTGAGACCTTCACTTTGAGATATAGGGAGCCTTGGATTCTGTCATTAAGAAAGAGACAATGTGGGATCAAAAAAACAGGCTCTGGAAAAGAAAGCAAAAGCATTACCTAAATAAAAATGAATTTAGCCTTTGCTTCTTGGAGGGGTTTGGCCTCCATCACCCTGGCTTCAACTCCAAGCCTGGTCTAAAATGCCATGTTGAAGTCAAGTTCCAGAGTTAGGTTTATTGGCCAAATTTAGGTCTGGGTTGAGCAAGATCATGGAAAACTGAAGGAGCCAAATTCCTTTCCCACCCGCACCCCCTCCCTCTGAAACAACTCTTTGAGAGGATGGCTGTGCCCTGAGCCAACCGAAACGGGAGTTGGGAAAACGAGATGGGGCTTTAACTAGACTTTCCTTGCCATCTCCGCCACCACCCCCCACCCTTTTCTGCTGTGTCAGCTCAGACTGGAAGAACGAGCGAAGTTAGCCCTTGTGAGAGTTCATTTTCTTTCCATTTCTCTTTATCCCCCTTCTCACCTCTCCCTCCTATTTTCCCCGCCCTCCATCCCGCCTCCCCACGCCTCTCCATCCCCCACCCCCCCACCCCTCTCCATCACCACACCTCTCTCCATCCCCCACTTCATCCCCCACCCTCTCCATACCCCCCTCCATCCCTCCACCACTCTGCATTCCCCCTATTCCTCTTCTCCATGCCCCCTCCCCCGACCCCTCTCCATCTCTGCCCCCTTCATCTCCTCCATCTCCCCACCTCCACCAACTCTAAGGCATCCCCTGAGAGCTTGAGTTTCAAGTCAGAACAACTGTGAGTTAGTCCTGGGGCTTGGGCTGGATTTGAGCAGGCAGGTGGGCCTACAGCTGCAGAGGGAGGACTAGGCTGACCCTAGGAGCCAGAGGTCATCGTGAGGGTTACAGCAAAGAGCATGGGAGCAAGAATTCCCTGCAGAAGTCCTGGGCCCCTTAATGGAGTGACGAAGAAGCCAGCAGGAAGGGGAGGTAATATTTGTCTAAAGTTTCTACTTTGTACCTGAGTAATGCCTGTGAAACTTGAAGATACTTAGTGTGTGGAAAATGAAACTCTGGAGAAGGAATCACTACACTCCAGACCCACTATCTCCAGAAACTGGAAGAAGACCATAAAGAGCAAGTACCAACCAGGGGCCAGAGCCGAAGGGAAGAGGGCGGGAGAACACCTGGGAGACAGGCAGGCGACTCGGTGGGCTTTGTTTAGTTTCACATTTTCTTTTTCACTACAGTTGGTCTAAAAGCTGCAATTCCCAGAGACCATCCGTTAGTTGTAATCTGGACATGTTATTTAACACGGTAAGATTGATTACACATTGATTACACATTTGCAAAAATAAATAAACAAGGCAGTGTAGACTTCCACTCCCCTCCCCAATACCAGCGAATCCCCCCTTTTATTTCCAGTTTCATTTCTTTCCATAAATTCTTTTATAATGTCATTTCTCTCTCTTTTTTTAAAAAAAAATATAAGTCCAGAGGAGTGACTGAACATCTCTGTGAGGGGAGAGGTTACATTCCCACCTGGGCCGCTTTGCTGCTGGTTTAAAACACCTAACCAGGTTAGTTAGTGCCTGCCACTTAGCTCAGCTCAGTTCTAGTGTCTCTCCAAGAATTGTCTGGGTATTGGTCAAAGAACCTTAAAGCTGGAAGGAACCCACAGCCGTCATCACAGTCAAGGCTCTAGTTTTAAGATGAGGATACTGAGGCCCTGAGTGGGAAGCCACTTGCCCGAGATACGGCAGCGGGGTTAGAGGCAGACACGGGGCTGGGACCCAGCTCTTCCCCGCAGGGGCTCCGGCACTGCATCCAGCCATTCCTGGCTTTCTCGCTAGTCACTGGGGCTCTTGCCTGGGCGTGGGTTAACCTGCCAGGAGGCCTTTGGCAAACACAGTCAGATGCTATCATCCCAT